ATACCAAAGTACGATGGAACAACAGACCCACGAGACCACGTTACTGCATTTACAATAGGCGTAAATGGAAACGACCTGACTAAGCAGGAGATCGAACCTGTCTTAGTCAAAAAATTTGGTGAAATGCTCACTAAAGGAGCATTAACATGGTATTCTCTTTTACCCGAAAATTCTATAAATTCTTTTGCTGAGCTTGCAGATTCTTTTATCAAAGCACACTCGGGAGCTCAAAAAGTTGAAAAAAGAATGGAAGATATCTTCAAGATCAAGCAAGGAGACTCAGAATTGCTTAGAGAATTCGTGGATAGATTTCAACGTGAAAGAATGACATTGCCACGTGTACCTGACAACTGGGCAGCCATAGCCTTCACAAGCAACTTGAATGAGAACAGTTCAGAAGCTACAAGGCGACTCAAGGAAAGCCTCCGAGAATTTCCAGCAACGACGTGGAATGACGTCTATAACAGATACAGTACAAAGATGAGGATTGAAGAAGATATTATTTTACGACATAAAAAAGAAGAAAAAGTAAACTCAAGACGTGCAGAAAATGAAAAAAGATCCGGTAAAAACAGGTGAGATCCATACATGGGACCTGCAGGGAGAGACTCACGATCAAAGCAGGATAATCAAAGGTACGATCACAGATCAAGGAATAAAGAATCAGGCTCGTCTTCCAGATTTGGGAATGATCGAAGCACACGTGAGCCACGAGATGATGATAGGGGTTCGAAGGCAAGGTTTGGTGGTTATAATTTCAACGTAAGCACTTCTGAACTCGTAGCTGTTTTAAGAAGCATGGGAGATAAGGTACGGTGGTCAAAGGAAATGCGATCGAATCCAAACAGACGAAACCCTGATCATTGGTGTGAATNCTGTCAAACTGTACCTTCCAGTTGTCGATTCCAACTGGGAATCACGTGCTAACCTTTTTCCAAGAGGGAAATTCTGACTCATCAGCTCAGTGCCAATAAGATTGGACCTACGTAAAAAAAGAGAAGTAAGAATCCCAAAGTCAAAAATTCTTATAGAATGAAGAAAAGTAGGAAAGAAAAAATCCTTTAAAGTGGCATGCACTATGTCATTCATGAGAGTCAGGTAGCTATGGATCTCAAGCTTTGCTTTCTCGATGGAGGCCAATCAAAGGCTCGAGCCAAATATCAGCTTGACCGGACTTTCTCAAGAGGCTGTTGTTAGCAGGAACCTCCATGGTTACGCTCCTCACAGCAGTACTCCTACTTGAAGAACCCACCTCCGTATGGTGAACAATAGGTGGAGGAATTGCCAAAGGAGGAACGGTGGAAGAAGGAACAAAAGCAACAGTTGATGAAGGTAAAGAAGCAATCACAGGTATGGGAGATGAAAAGGAAGATAAGGGAAGCTCGTCTAGAACAGGTCCTAAGTTTCCACTACAAAAACCACTAACAAAAAATTGATCGATAGACTCACGAGTGTCGTGAGGAGAGATGTCATCATCAGGAATGATAACTGGACTAACAACAGGCTCGGAAAGAGACAGATGAGGGGAGATTTCAGCCTCGTCATCAGAGACGATACGTCTCCGGGCTCGTGGTCTCATCACCAGGGAACCCTCATCTTCTTCCTCTGAATCTTCCTCCTCAGTAGCTTTTCTTTTTGAAGAACCCAAGAATATATCTTGGGCTGAAGAGGTACGAGTGCTCAAAGAGTCACGTGAAGCTATGATTGCCTCTGCG